TGTGCCATTGAGTCAATTCCAACTCGTGGCAACACTATATAACAGAATTGTTGCCCCATAGGGTTTCTTAAACTGTAATCTTTACGTGAACATGATAACCATGTCTTTTCTTCCACAGAGCAGCTGTTGGATTCAAACCACTGAATTTTCAGTTAGCAGATGACCTTTTGCGCAGATAACCATTGCGCCACCAGGGATCCTTGATTCATTCTTAAACAACGGAAGATAGGAATGCTTATTTAAATGTTACAGGGGAAATATCCCTTAATGCTTCCGACACTGATCCCTAACTCTTTCAGACCTTACTTAAAGGTGTTTCCATAGTGAAAGTATGCTTATTCAGCATCTTAGAGTGAGTTATGTAAAACTCTCATTCTCTCTCTCCCTTTACCCCTAACTTGTATGACTTTCCATTCTGGATTTACAACTCTAGTTGAAAATACATTTCTGGCTCACCTCCTGATCTTTGGATCAAGTTTTACTCTGAAAACAAAGAAGGTGTTTTAGAAAAATGCTAGCTCATTTTATAAACAGAGGCTGACACAATGTAACTTGCTTAGTAATTAGGGGAAGATGGGGAAATGGAAGAGATGGTTCATAAATAAAAATGTTATTAACACAAGCATCCTTCCCTTGATGGAATAAGTCACAGAAAAGTATTTTTCACTTTAGAATACATTAGAAGAGGCCTTCACCAAGAGCCAGTTGTTTAAATTTTCAATTTGAATTTTAAGCAGGATTATAAATGCCTAAGAACATCATGCTATTATTAGCTAATAGGTAAGACTGCACTGTCCATAATAGTTTGGAGTAATCAGGAGTGACACTATGAAACAGTATCTCTTACTCCGTACCTATCATTTAGTAATTCTATTTCTATTTATTATTTTACAAAGCTTCATCATAAAAAGGGCTTGTTAAGCACCCATGCTAGGCACAATACAAAGTTCAAACAGAAAGATACGGCTCCTAAACTTCATTATGGGTTTAACCCACCTAATGCAAACCAGAAGGAGTTCTGGTAGCACAGTGGTTATGAATCGGGCTGCAAACCTCCGGGTCAGCAGTTCAAAACTACCAGCTGTTCTGCGGGAGAAAGATGAGGCTTCCTGCTCCTGTAAAGATTTACAGCCTCGGAAACCCTGTACAGGGTCGCTATGAGTCAGAACCGACTCCATGGCACATAACAACAACAATAATGCAATCCAGATACATGTAAGAATCTCAAGGCTAAAGCATTCCCAACAAGTGGCCATACAGCCCCTTAGTATCCAGGGGAGGAATATTAGGAAGCAAATGTCTTAAACATCACTCTTTCAATGCCTGTAACCCCTTTATGTATTAAAAGGAGACTCAACACCCACTGTAATTGAGCTGATTTAGACTCATAGTGACCTTGTACAGGCTTTCCAAGGTTGTAAATCTTTATGAGAGCAGAAAGTTTTATCTTTCTTCCTGGAGCAGCTGGAGGGTTTGACCTAATGGCCTTGTGGTTAGCAGTCCAGTGCTTACCCTACAACACCACCAGGGCTCTTTAAAAAAAGAAAAGTAATGACAATGACCTAAAATTGTGGTGATAGCTACCCAACTTTGTGAATATACTAAAAGCTACTGAATTGTTCACTTTAAGCAAGTGAATTCTTTGGTATCTGAATTCTAGCTCCATTAAACTGTTTTAAAAAGAAGAAAAAACTGTGTTTATTCTGATGGTTCTAATTGTGGTTGTTGTTAAGGGCCACTGAGTTAGCTCCAAGTCATAATAGTGACTCAGAGTGACCCTGTATAGGGTTTTTGAGGAGTATCTGATGGGTGGGTTTGAACCTTCAACCTTGTTTGAAGCGCACACCAGGACTCCACAGTTCTAATTAGTCAAAGCTATTGTTTAAGCTCTCATGCTAAGAATATCTAGCTAATATCAGTGGTCCCTACTGACTGGTGATCGCTGTAATCTTACCCTTCACATACGTCATTCTTTCTCTCACTTTTTCCCTTGTCTCTCTTCTGTTATTTTCCAAGCCCCTTTCTTGTTGTTCCTCCACTCTAACTCTATCTTAAGTATTTCAAGTATTCACAAACACAGCTTTGTCCCTCTTGGTGGACCTGAGAAACTAATTGCTGACCCTTGGCAACTTTTCCTCCATGACCTTAAGCAAGTCATGTCCTTGCTCTAAACTTGTTGTTCCAGTCTTCACAATGAGGGATTGGACTACATGGTTCTTTGTACCTCTAGGTAAGAAAAAAAAATCCAAGTAATGAACACTTGTCCAATAATATGCAAAGTCTGTCATTTTAAATGAGACATCTATTTGGATTATTCATTTTTTAAATACCCACCATGATGCAATCCTCCAAAGAACAGTACTAAGTATATTTATAAAATGATCACCATGGAGTCCTACTTTTTAAAACTAGCACTTTCTCAAAGAAAATTCAAAGCCCAACCAAGAAGGCTTAATAGACCCTCTGGACCAGTCTCCAGGGGTCCAATTGCGAATAGGGAAAAAAAAGCTTTTCATTGTTGGGGCCCTGCTGGAATTACCAAACCAAACAAAGACATAAAACTGGGGTGGGTAGAGCCTTAACAAAAAATGGTTCAACTAAATCCTAAGAATAGGAAAAGCCTTGTTTAGCAAGTGATAGAAAGATCTAACATAACACAGCACCTCAACATACATTATGAACTCTCACTCTCAGAAATATGCTCAGAGAACAAAAAACACTGTAGGAATTCCCCCTTACTCTGAAGAACTTTCAGCATTTTATGCAAACCAGTGGCATTCCCCCAACAAAACTCACAGAAATATGTAGTCACCACTTTCCAACATATCACCAGCATCGGACACACTAAATTCAGTGTTGTTTCCATGTACCCAACATGAGAGCAAAACCGAAAGAAACACATGAATTTCTCCTACATACACACAAATATGCAAGACAAACCATTTCCTTTGCAAAACCTATGTTTTCTAAATTACGGACATGCAGTGGATAAAAATTGATTGCTAATAAAAATCAAAGTTAACTCCATAAGGAGAAGCTAGGAGCACACACGTAATTCATAAAAAGTAACCCTAAGGTAAGTTTATTTTCATTAAACTGAACACCAAATATGGAGAGAAATAACTCCAAGTGTCCATTGCATCCCTCTTTCCCACTGTCTCTGACCAACAAATCTGTTTGTTACCTCCTTACACAGGTCAGTTCCTCATCAAAAAAGCCTCCAGCAGAAAGGTCATCAACCCCTCTCCTTTCCCTTCAGTCTACTTAGCTTGAGGCACTAAAGAAGAGTGTAGGGGGAGGGGAATAGAAAGCACGAAGGTAGGTGTTTTCGTTCCCTTTCAACTGCTACAGGGCTCCCAGCTTCTCCCTTTTTCATCTTGGAACCAGAGCACCTGCCAGGAAGAGGCCCCTTCCTCCACTTTAGTAATCTACAGGAACTAGGTGTCTAAGGAGCCCAGACTTTGCAGCCCAAAGGGACAAAGGCTGGGTTTACCAAGGGGAGGGAAAGGTGAAAGAAATCGGGAACAGTATAACAACCCTTGCAAACAAAAAGTCGGGGGGG